TCAGCTGGTTTTGCCTTCACCCTGTCCAGTTCATCAAGACAAAACAAAAGACCCTGTCCTTTCATCACAGCCCTTCTAGCATATTCTAGGTGAGCCCAAGAGGGACATAAGGGTAGTTATGTCTCATCAAGGAGAAAGGGACCCACATTTCTGGAGCACCCACCATGAACACGGGCTGACTGTGAGGTCCCCTTGTGGGACAAAGGGCCCCAGCTGCTCCGTGGTCTGATGCTGTGGAAGTAAACATGTGTGCAGGTGGCCATGCTTTCCCATTGGAGCAGCCCCGTCAGGTCAGCAGGGCCAGAAAGCTGCACTGCTCTTCCTCCATTAGGGTCTAAGGTTGAAGACCCCCTTCCAGATGTCCTTGGTTTCCAGATGGATGAGAAGAAACAGCACAGAGCTCTCAGGTTAGGAGAAGGAAGCAGAGTGCCAGGAGGAGCCAGGATGGGGGAGGCACCAGGGCTGTCCCTGTCCCACCTCTGGGAGACACGCCTGGACCACTCATGAGAGGCCCCATTGCATCACGACCCTAGACAGGAGATGGTAGGGCAGCCTCAGACTACCCTTCAGCAGTTCAACTCTGAGCATTGGACAGGCGCATTTCCTGCGTGTCACTGGGGGGGCCACGCTGTCCCTCGTTATCCGGACTCACAACATCCACCCGGCTTGTCTGTGTTCCGTCTGGGTCGATGTGACCCTGGGCTGTTCCAGTGGGAAACACTGACCAATCGTCGCAATGTTTACAGGGTGTCGGGCAGCCAGCAGGGGAAACTGTCCTCAACGTCCCCCGCCCTCTAGGCGCCTAAGTGGGGTTTCATGGGATGTGCCGCAAGAAGAAAAAGTGAGATTTTAGGGCTGAAGACAACATTTCAAAATCCGGCTTTAAATAAACATGGAATAAAAGAGAGAGAGAGCGAGAGCGAGAATGAGAGCGCGGAGCCTCCAGCAGCTGAAATTAGAAGCAGCCAGCCCCGGGCAGGGAAGCCATCTGCGCGGCGGCGAGCAGCCTGGCAGCGTCTGGGCCCTCCCTGATGGCATGCAAAGCGGCACCCGCAGGTAGGTGCTCCTGTCTCCTGTCTGCAGCGACCTGCGGGAACACACTGAGGTCTTGTTTTCCAGGTGTCCTCCGATTTCAGATTCTGAAGAACAGATTCCCTCTGCTCCCATCCAGAAATACCTTTCAGATCACTTTCAAGGCAATTTAAGTCATTTAAGAGGCAGAGTGATAAGAAAACAAAGCCAACGTTTCAGGCGGTAAATGAAGACTAATTATGCTGAGCGTGAAGCCAAGTTCGTCCTTCTTCGTCTTTGCTTAGGGAGGTTGAGCCCGAGCACAGCCCCCAGCACCGGGGAGGGCTCAGGTGAGGGGCATGCGCACCTGCCCCCCTGGCTGCTCTGCGTCCTCACATGGGTCCTCCGTCTTCCTGCACACCTAGTCACTGGCCACTCCTGCCCTATGCTGGGTTCCGGAGACAGCGAGCAGGCCCGGGACAGGAGCGGGCTCCCACCCCTGGTCACCGTGGGCGCCCATATCCCTCCTCCCCCTCCACCCTGCCCAGCTCCACAATTGTGCCTGGAGTGACCAGCTCAGCCAGTGCTTTCTCGCCACACGAATCCTTCCTCTGGCCTCAGACCCTGGCCTCACCTGGGCTGGTGCAGGAGGGCCCAGTCACACAGGGTATGCTGCAGGCTGTCACCTGCCTGAGTTATTTAAGTCCACATTGTCAGCTAATGTATTCTAATAAGCAAGTGGGTGACTGGGCTGGCAGGCTTGGGATGACGCTGACATATAGCAAGGGGGGAGGAGCGGGAGCAAAACTCTGAGACTCACTCGCGCCCCGGTGCTCACCCCCGCGCGCCTCCCACAGGCACCTGGAGTCACGCCACGCGATGTGCGCTGGATTACATAAGGGGGCTTGTTGCTGGGGAACCTCTCCCCACCCACCCCCAGCCAGGGCAGGCTCTGGAGGGAGGCCGAATTTCCTCTGTCCTCCCACCCTCAGGAGGAAGCCCCTCCGGTTCTTTCGGCCTGGTCTGTGGGGAAGCTCTGTGGAACTCTCCAGGCCACCTCTCTTTGAGGGCTGAGGCTGGACCACCACAACACAGGGTCAAGAAGGGCCCCCAAGTGTCCGTGCCTGCACTCCTCCATCTGTGTGGAGCTCAGAGCAGGCAGGGTCTCCCAGACTTGCAGACAGCAGCCTCCTCCCGTTCTCCAGAACTTCCTCCCTGTTATGGGCCATGTGCTGCCTTCGAGGGGACAGAGGGGACATCAGATGCCTGGATGGGCAGCGATGCATCTCCCTGGCTATGGCCCGGACTCTGGCCAACACTGTGGCTGCAGGAGACGGCCGTGAGCCACGCTGGGTTGTGGGCAGCAAACCCAAGGCACCATCTGTCAGGGAGGCCAGGCGAGAGCCCACGTCTGAGGTGGCAGAAGGGCTGAGCTGCCAGCAGGACCCTTGAGCCCCATGGCCCCGGCTCCACCGAGCAGTCCAGCTGCAGCCACAGACGAGGGGCCCACGTGCCTGCCCTCAGGATAGGGGCCATTCCACAGGGTGCTGGCCCCCTGAGGCTCTCTGTGACCAGCAGCAAGAGACAACAAGGGCAAATGGTGCATCCACTGACCTCACAGTGGATACAGTGGGGACCTGGGGGCCAGAATGAGATTCCAGGGTGAGGCACAGGTGATATTTTCCGACCACTGTAGGCCGAACTGGAGGCCTGAGCAAGATCATTGCCCACTCCCATGAAAACCTTAACTCCAGCACATTTTAGATTTATGCCACTGTTACAAAGATAACCCCCCCACCCAGTTTCCCCTCTGGTGACATCTTGTATCAGTATGTGCGTTTATTAAGATCAATGAATCGATACTGCTACATTATTAGCTGACACCCATGCTTTATTCCTATTTCCTCAGTTTCCCTCCAGTGTCTTTTTTTCCCAGGACCCCATCCAGGGTCCCACGTGACATTTTGGATCAGGTGTCCTCAGGTTCCTCTGGGTTGTGACAGCTTCTGACTTTCCTTGGTTTTGATGACTTGGACAGTCTTAAGGAGGGCTGGTCAGGTTTTTTGTTTGTTTTTTTTGTAGACTGTACCCGTTGGGATTTGACTGATGTTTTTCTTTTCCTTTTATTTTGAGACAGGGTCTTGCTTTGTCGCCAATGCTGGAGTGATCAAGGCTCACTGCAGCCTTGACCTCCTGGGCTCAAGTGATCCTTCCGCCTCAGCCTTCAGGGTAGCTGGGACTACAGGCATGTGGCACCACGCCTGGCTAATTACAATTTTATTTTTTTTGCCAGGCACAGTGGTTAATGCCTGTAATCCCAGCACTTTGGGAGGCCGAGGTAGGATGATCACAAGGTCAGGAGTTTGAGAACAGCCTGGCTAATATAGTGAAACCCTGTATCTACTAAAAATACCAAAAAATAATTTAGCTGGGCTTGGTGGTGCACACCTGCAGTCCCAGCTACTTGGGAGGCTGAGGCAGGAGAATTGCTTGAACCTGGGAGGTGGAGGTTGCGGTGAGCCGAGACCGCGTCACTGCACTCCAGCCTGAGTGACAGAGCAAGACTCCATCTCAAAAAAATTTTTTTTTTTTTTGTAGAGATGGGGTCTCATTACATAGCCCAGACTAGTCGTGAACAATCTTCCCACCTTGGGCCCCCAAAGTGCTGCGATTACAGGTGTGAACCATGACGCCCAGCCCGCTGCTGTTTTTCTGATGCTAAGACAAGGGTTACGGTCTGGAGGAAGAGCCCACTGGTGGAGCGCCCTCCCGTCACGTCTGCCCGCACGACCTCTCGGCGTTGGTGCCGGCCCTGACCTCCAGGCTGAGACAATTGGTTGGTTCTCCGCTGTGCAGACACCTTGCCCACCCCTACACAGGGCTCTTTGGAAGGAAGTCACCATGTGCAGCCCACACGGAAGCCGGTGGAGCTGGGCCCCCTCCCCGTGCCCCTTACTTTTATTTATTTAGAGACGAAGTTTCCATCTTGTCACCCAGGCTGGAGTGCAATGGAATGATCTTGGCTCCCTGCAACCTCTGACTCTTGGGTTCAAGCGATCCTCCTCCCTCAGCTTCCCAAGCAGCTGAGATTACAGGGGTACGCCACCACACCTGGCTAACTTTTTGTATTTTTAGCAGAGACGGGGGTTCACTAGGTTGGTCTCTAACTCCTGACCCCAGGAGATCTACCTGCCTCAACCTCCCAAAATGCTGGGATTACAGGCATGAGCCACCAAGCTTGGCCAGGCCCCTTACTTTTAAAGGTCTGCCTCCAGAGTGACCATCTGTGTCGCGTTGGGAGCTCTTCAGAATGTCCCATCCAGTCTCAGATGATAGCAATGGCCTCTCCAGCGTGCTGGTCCCATTCTCTGTGCTGTTTATGCCCCTTTATGCCTGGATTCCTCCCAAAACGTTCTGCCCTGCACTTAGAGGGGCTCAGAGAGGCAGTGGCACCTGCCCCCAGCAACCAGGCAGGCATCTAGCACAGTGGCCACTGGGCCTGCCTATGCCGGCTGAGGCCCCCTCGATGCCACCCACCCCCTAAGTGCATACCATGCCTGCCACGTCAGTGCTCACCCTGTCCCTCTTGCCCTGGCGAGAAATGGCCTGCACTGGAAACCTGGCTCTGCCTTTTACATTGGACAAAGCCAAAGTGGGCTGGAGGTGGTTGGGCCCGGCTTTCTGCCGCAGGGAGCGACACCCCGACCCCAAGCCCTGGCTCCCACCCTCAATGCGCTCCTGCCTTTGCCTTCCTGCTGGTAACGCTGCAGGTGGTGAACAACGAGGGGGCCTGTCCAGTCCATGCAGGAGGCAAAGAAACGGTGCTCTGGACTTCATGTGGACAGCTTCTCCCACGGCACCCAGCATGCAGGGGGAAGTGTGGAAGAAGGGTAGGCAGGGGAGAAGCCTAGCCCTCCTGGCTCTGCCCCAGATGCCCGTCTGACTGGACTTGGGTGCCCTCTGATCTCTCCTGCTCTGGAACTTTCTGGTTACTGATTACAAGTGCTTTAATCCAGGAATGAAAAGAGGGAAGAGGAGTTCTGATTGGGCGGACCCTTCTCTTGGAGAGAAGGCAAAGCTGCCAGGCAGAGGGTGGGAAGGGAGAGGAAGGGGAGAGGGGAGGCTCCCTTGACAGGCATAAAATGTCCCCAGGATTGCCGACAGGTGGCTACTCTCAGGCTGCGCTCAGCTGAGGCTGGTCAGGAAGAGGGAGAAGGAGGTGAAAGCGGGTTCAAGTTTTGCTGGGTGGTCACCTCGGAAAGGGCTCCTTCTGTTGAGCAGAACTCCCCAATCCTTCGCCTGCCTTGCCAGGAGAACAGCTTGCTTGAAAAGCAAAGGCTGTCATCCTGTAATTAAATCTGAGACCCCCCCCATGTGACGTTGAGATGAAGCCACTTACATAACGCGACTAAAAATAAGCTGATGAAGGCTACACGCTCTCACTGCCTCCAGCCCTCTGCTCCCCAGCGGCCCACAGTGCGGCTGACCACGGTCGGCATCACCAGCTGTGGGGTCGGGTTCTTGTCTGAAGTCACTCTTGCCCTGGCCCTGCTCAGCACCCTGTGTGCATGAGGGCCCATCACTGGCACCCGGGCTGCAGACCCCCGGCTCAGAGCTGGGGTGCGAAAGATCCCCCGGCTGCCCAGACAAGGGCTGACGCTCACGAGGAGGCCTGCAGTGTACGGGCTCCGCCTGCCTCCTCCTCAGTGACCCCCATGAGCTGCTCATTACAGAAGCCTGCTCCCACCTCCACCCCACCCCACCGCCAGTGCAGGAAGCTGACCCTGGTCTGGGGTGCGGACGGAGGGTCTGGGAGGAGGTGGTGGCTGGCTGTCTCGGTGGCTGGCGACACCTCTTCTGCTCTTTCTTCCTGGGAGGAGGCGGCAGGGCAAAGCCTCTCTGCCAAGACACTGGTTTCCTTCGGGCCGTTTTGTAGAGGCGTGGGTGAGATCCCAGGTCTGGGCTGCAATTTCTGGCCACGCTGCTCAGCCTTCAGGCAAGCAGTGGGGTTGTGCAGTGTGTACCCCACCACGCTCTCAACAGTCAAGGGAAGCAGGAGCAAGGGGTGGTCTGTGAATGTCTCCAAAATAAAATGCGTCGGGACAAGAGTGGCCTCCTAGCTCCACCTGGAGCTGGCATCACGGCGATCTCCGGATGCCCAGCCCATAAACCTGGCCTGTCTATCCCCAGGAACCTTGGTACTCAGCCCCCCAGACCCCAGACACCTATGCCCTTTAGAAAGGCTTCCACATCAGTCAGAAAGGCCTCACAGGACGCTGGTGAAGGCGAGCACGGAGTACATGGGCACAGCCTTGGTAGAGACCTTCCTGGAAGCTGGTGGTACAGAGCAGATGCCAGGCGGGCGCCAAGTTTCTTGGCCTTGTTCTCCATTCCTAGGTACGAGGACTTCCCCACGTCCAGCTCTGTGCCTGCCGTCAGCCACGGGCGTCTCCTCGGGTGCCAAGCTGGTCATCTCCATATGCGGCAGGTGTTCTGATAACCCTCTTCTCAGGGACGGCCTCCATCCTGCCATTCAGCCTCCTGCCCAGCCGCCAGGCGGAGGGAGCAGACCCAGGCACCGAGACCGCTGAGCCACTGGCCACCTGGAAAGCAGCCTGGGCTCTGAGTCGGTCATCAAATGTGAGTGTCCCCTTGGATGGAGAAGTGCAATCACATGTAGGCGGGTCAGGAAATAACCTTTGGAGATTCTAGAAGGTGGGGTGGGACCCAGGACCATGGGAGCTTTTCTGGAGGGGCCTCCCTGTCCTGCGTTGCGGCTGGTGGGAGCGGCGAGGCCTGGAGAAGAAAAGTTCCCAGGTTCACTCCCCTCTTGGAGCGAGGAGACCGCCCGTGTTTGCCTGCCGGCCTCCGTCTGTCATCTTCGTTCCAGCCATTCAACTTTCCTTTGGGCGAGAGGGCTGCTGTGCCCCCACCTGCTCCCTGCTGGCCCAGACCCAGTTCAGGCCAGTGGATGTCAGTCCTAGGGCCAGTGTGAGGTCCGCAGGTGTGGCGTGCACAGCACCCAGCTGGCCCGGAGGAAGGGGTCAGGGTCAGTGGAGACGTTCCTGCCTTCGGGTAAATGTCCTCATTTGTCAGGGCCAGTTTGAGTTGGCTTTCTGTCATGTGCAACCAAAAGAATCCTAGAAAATAAATACACAGGGATCTACCCTCAAACACTGGAGGCAATACAGGAAAAGGAAGAAGCCAGGGCCAGTAGCTGGAAGGAAATTCAGCCCGAGCAGAGGAGGCACGCGGCTGTGGTGGGAGGGGAGGCGAGGCTTCCTGAATCTCACTTCCCGGTTCTTCCCATCCGCATGAGTGCCTGCACTGGCTTATCCAGCCCCTGCCAGTGTCTGGGGGTTTGCGGCCAGCCTGCACAGCTGTGTGCAGGGTCCTGACTTGTTGAATGAATGAATGAATGAATGAGTGAATGACTGATACTGCAGGGATGGGAGGCAGGGAGAGTGTGACGTTTAATTAAAGGGAAACGCTCAAATCTGGTGTTTTACAAAGTAAAGCAAATAATTCCTCTATGTTAGTCTAATTTATGTAAATATTTCTCCAAGGGAATTGTACTGGGAGTCCTGTGTGCCAACTCGGCCACCTTCCCGGGCAGAATCCCCTTGGGAGGACCCTTAAGCAAGACCCTTTCTAAAAAGTGGAGGCAGCTCTGACTCCTCCATCCTTTCTACAAGGTTCCCCAGCCCCCAGGGTTTTCCACCGCATGAGAGTCCTCGGGGCCACTCGTCTCCTGCCACCCTCGACCCTGCCTTCGCCGGAGACCTCTCTCCCCAAGTAAACTGTCTCCAAAGAGAGTCTCCAGCCCGCAGAGGGTCCTCCCCCTCCCTGAGGGTCGCCCTGCCCCCAGGCCTTCCAGCAGGAAGCTCCCCTGTCCCCTCTCCAAATCCCCCTTCCCAGTGCCCTCCCCCAAGATCCTCCTCCCCAGGGTCCTCCCCTCTCCAGAATCCCAGCCCCAAGCCCCACGCGCCGTCTGCCTGTCTAGGGGCCTCCCCAGAGTTCACCTTCTCCAGGGTCCTCCCTCCAAGTCCTCTCCTCACGGTGCTCCCCCGAAATGCAATTTCTCCAAGTGGTGCCCCGCTCCAGGGCCCAGCTCTCTCCAGGGTCCTCCTGCAGCACCGCCGCCCCCAGGGTTCTCCTCTCTGCCCTGAGGGGCCGGCCGGGGGGTCGCCGCCCGCCCAGCGGCGCGGTGGGGACTTCTCTCACCTGTAAGCCCCGCCCGCGGCGTCCGGCGTCCAAGCCGCTCCGGTCCCCTCCCCGCAGCGCCAGGCCGCGACCCGGCGGGCCGGCAGCCCCGAAGTGCCACTTCGCGAAGTGCCGCCTCCACGCGCGCTCGCCGCCGGCGCCCCCCGCTCCGCTCTCCTCCCCCCACCTTCTGCTCCTTCTTCCTGCGCCACCCCGCCCGCGCCTCCCCGCCCCCAGCCCGGCTGTTGCCGGGCCCCCCTCAGGCTGTTCCCAGGGCCCCAGCCCGCGCCGCGCCTCCCCCTCCTCCCCCAGGAGCGACGCAGCCGCCGACCAATCGCTGCCTGGAGCCAGCCACCGGGCCCCGCCTCTGATCCCGCCCCCCTCCCCCGTCTCCGGAACCCACCAATAGAAAGGGCGGTGCGGGGGCGGGGCCTGGAGGTTGCCTAGCAGCGGCAGCGCTGGGCGGGGGCGGGGAACCGGGGGCGGCGATGCGGGCGCGACGGGGGCGGGACGCAGGGGCGGGGCCTGTATCGGGGCGGGACCTGAGACGGCTACTAAAGCGGCTGCCGCCGAACGCCGAGCTCTGTGGTTCGGGTCCGCGTTTGTCTCCGGTCCGCCGCTGCCGCTGCCGTTTCCGCCCCCGCTCCGGTCTGTGGTGCAGCCGGGACCCACGACCATGTCGCTGTCTCGCTCTGAGGAGATGCACCGGCTCACGGAAAATGTCTACAAGGTGAGTTCCCCTCGCTACCCCGGAGCCAAACTGAGCCCGCTCCGGGTGCGCCCGAGTTCCGCGCCGCTGGCTTTCCCGAGTCCGACCAGGGCGGCCCCGGGGCCGCGCGCGGGGCCAGGAGGCCGGGACTTCGGGGGTCTTCCCGGCGTGGCCTCCGGGGCCCTGGGCTGCGGGGGTGGCGAGTCCGGCGCCGGCCGCTCACAGGTGGCCTCCCCGCCTGCCCCCCATCCGACGCCCTGGCGGCCCGGCCGGCCTCGGCCCCAGGCCCGGGGGACGCTCCCAGCCCCGACGGCCCTGCGCGGCCCCCGCGCGCCCCTCCGCGCGCCCACTCTGGCGTCCGCGGGAACGGAGCCGCGCGCGGGGCCCCCGGAGCCCTCGGACTTGTCTGGGCTGTCGCAGACCCGGGCGGGGCGGGGGCGGCGGGCCCAGGGGCTGCGGTGGCCAGGGCGGCATGGGGGCTGCCTGCAGGCCGCGGCCGGCGCGGCGGCACCGTGGGGCTCTTCCAGGCGCGGTTGCGCGAACCTCGGGCACTTCCTTCTCAACAGGCTTTCCCTTTCCACAACTCCTGCCGGGCGCCGCTGCCAGGGCCTAAGGTGGGAGGTCGGAGCGCGGGCAGGGGGCAGGTTGGATGTGTGGACGGATAATCCATCATCTTATGTAACCGCGGAGGGAGAAGACTAATTGTGTAGGAGGCTGACGTGCCTGCCTTCGCTTTAGATGTGTTGAGAGTGGCATCCACGTTCTCGTCTGTGAAATGACAGGTTCACATCCGAGGGCCGCAGAGCCCCTCTGGAAATCTCCCCTGCCGCCCCCCCCCCCCCCGTGGTTTTTGTCGCTGGGATACCGACCCACAGGCCCTTGGTTTTCCCTTTCTTCAGCATCCATTCTCGGTCCAGACCCCCACCCCTGAGCGCAGCAGCTCCTGGGGGGCATTTTCTCAGAAGAAACCCTGGCCCTGGGTGGCCCTGGGTCCTGGGCGATCTGTTACAGCAAAGATGTGTTTTGTTTCAAAACTGTCTGAAGGTTCAGTGACAGGCTGGGTGACCAGTGGAGTGGGCATTTACCCGGCAGTTGCTGGTTCATGCCTCACCGGATTGCGCCCTGCCTGGCAGAGTGACAGTTTTTAATTGTGTTAGGAGGCCAAGGTGTTCGTGGCCAGGGGCCTGCGAGGCCCTCGTAGCACTCAGGCTTCGGAGAGCCAGATGGAGGCTTCTGGGGCCGCCCCTCTGGTTCCAGCTGGAGTGGGGTGGGGGGAAGCGAGAGGCGCAGATTGCGCCTGAATACAGCTTTCAATAAAGCTTGTGAAGTTGGGGCCACGTCGGTCTGTAAGTCAGGTGTGGTCTACTAGATCAGCCCTAAAGCCATTGTCAGAACCACCGGTAAACAGGATTCACAGTGACCTCAGGAGTCGCACGGGAAAGGAGCAGCCCCTGGGGTTTTCTGTTTGATTTCACAGAGTCCGTGGCCTACGGTTCTGGCCTTGTTTCTCTGTGGAAGCACGTGTTTTTAAGGGAGGCAGGTTTATTACATTATTAGTCATTAGTTCCGTTACGACTTGTTCGTGATTACAGAGGGTGGCAGAAAAGTACTGGTGGCACCTTTTCCCTATTTTCTCTGCTTCTGGGCTGAAACCAGAAAGCAGGAACTTTCGTGGTGAAAGTTGTGGGGGGGGGGTGCATGGAGCCGTTTTGCTCTGGGAGACTTACTCCGTGTTCACCCTTAATGAAACTCCTGGCCCGGCAGTCGGCCATCACCAAGATGGAGCTGTAATTTGTCTGTAGGTCTGAGTGAAATCCTGAAAACTCAGGACTGAGCTCATGGGGACTCTGAGCCCCTGTGGATTCGAGGAGCAGGTCTGGAGCATGTGAAACACACAGGCTCTGCGCTTTGTACTCGCCAGGTGGGTTGATTGGTGATTTCCGCGGGTGAAGATGTGATTTGATTTAGCAGTCAGTCGTAGGTGTCTGAAGGGCTGATCCGTTCTGGAAACACTGCCCTGGAGAGAGGCTGGCGCTGCTGCTGCAGGCAGGCGGGGTTGGCTCCGTAGGTAGGTGGCTCCTGCTGCGGCTCCCGGGGCCTGACTGTTGAGTCTTTGGGTCCTGGTGCTGTTTCGTTTTTGTGCTTTGTCACTGGGGAGCTCATGGTGCTGTGGTAGTGCCAGTACTGGTTGGGCAGCTTTGGCATGTCAGCCAGGCAGAAACCTGGCCCACATGGAGACACAGTCAGGAGACCGACAAAGCTACCCGTGTGCACACCTGGCCGGTCAAGCCGGTCCAGGCAGCGCCAAGGTCCGTCCTCTGCTGGGACGGTGCTGCCTCTGGCATCCCTTCCAGGGGCTGCCACACCTGTGCCCGCGTTGGCGCTTGCAGAGCCTGGTAGTGCCTCTTGGAATGGCCGGACTGTGGCCTGCTCAGTGTGTCACCCGCGATGCGGCTCCGCTGTTTGGTTTGGCCCTTGCCTGGCCTCAACTGCGGTTCTGAGTGGTGTTTGCCTTGGCAAAGGAGGATGCCTGTCCTTGGCCTTGCTGATTAAAAATGCGAGAATGAAATGTGCAGTTTGATTTTCTCTCCTGTAAGAATCTGTAACGCAGACTTTGACCTCTTTCCTGGTGGCTCCGTTCCCTTGGGAGCTGTGTCCTCGGGGAATTTCATGGAAGGTGAAGGGAAAGGGAGTAGAAAGGCTTTCCGGTGTCTGCCGAGAACCTTCTAGGGGCAGAGCATGGGCTGGGCCTTGCATGGGTTGGGAGGGCAAGTCGAGGAAGACCTCTTCCTTCACGGGAGCCCTATCCCTGCGCGCACTCAGGTAGCCCTGGTGATGGTCCAGATCAAGGGACGGAATGTTGGAATCTGCTTCCCCAGATGGCTGAGTGGCCTTTGGAATTAAGGCTGCTGAAACTGCAGCTCTGCTAGGGGAGCACTAAGCATCCCTGTGTGCTGAGAAGCTGCCTCCCTTGCTGCCTATGGCTCCTGGGGCACTAGGTAACTGTCAGGGGGGTGTTTTCCTCACAGTCCTGTGTTCTCAGAGAAGCCCTGGCGCCCAGGTGACACATGACCTGGAGTGTGGTGGCTCCAGCACCTTTTCTGGGAATAGCGCCATTGGCCCACAGCCTGTCTTAGAACATGTGAGGTGGGAGAGCATTTGGGGAGGTGTGAGTCCCTGCTACCGGACAGCTGTGGCCATGGCCTTCCTGGTGCCGAGGCTCCTGGCCCTGGCTGGCCACTCTGGCAGCTGGTGGGGAAGCCAGCCTGGCTAGGCCGCAGCCATGCTTCCAGGAGGCGAGTGACACAGGGTTCCTGGAGCTGGGAGCCAGTTGGGTTTGCCGCCTCTGGTGTGATTGGTAAGGGTTGGTGCCAGGTGGTGGGCGTCGTGTACTAGGTGGCAGGGAGTCTGGTGCTGGCTTTTCTGCTTTTCTGCTCAGGGCCTGGCTGCCCAGGCCTGGCTGCTCCTCTCTGCCACATCCAGCTTCTTCCCAGGGTGTGTGGAGTTCACCACCCCTCCATTTGGATATGGGGGGGAAGTCTCTGACAGGTACCTCCTGGCATTGGAGCCTCCTACCTGGGGAGCAGCAAACATGGCACCCGAGGAGGAGAGAATTCACGGTGCTGAGCTCAGCTGGGTGTGCATGCCCGTGTGTGTATATTTGCATGTCCATGTGTGTACATGTGCGTGTGCATGCACACGTGCATGCGGTGCTTTTAGAGATCACTTCCCAGGAGGCCCCCGTGGGCACCATCTTCCCACAGGGTGACTGGGCCTGCTGTCACTGATTGGACCCGGTCTGTGCTTCCTCCCCATGTGCGTGTCATGGTCCGTGTCACCCGCCCTCGCCACCGCCAGCCGTTAGCAGGGGCGCATCTCCCAGGAGCGGTGCTGATGTCCTCCTGACTGGGTGGTGCGAGTGTCTTGCTGTGCCTGCTGTCCCCGCCTCGAGCAGGTGTTCTTTGTTGGGCAGGTCAGTTGGCTCATGGGACTGACAGAGTGGACTTGAGGCTCAGAGCTAGAATGAAGGCTGGTGCTGATCTGGGCTATCAGGGGCCACCGTTAGAGGGGAGGGCAGTGGGTGGGGCTGCTAGGAGCTGTGTTCTGCTGATGCCTTGTTCTGGACTGAGGCTTCCAAAGGTCAAGGCCTCCGGGCCAGGCCCTGTCTCCTGGCCACAGGCACCATGAGCTGAGCTGTCCAGGATAGGTGGTCTTGCAGGGGAGGGGTAGTGTGTGACCTGGCCACTGACTGGGAGGGGCTCATCCTCTTCCCAGCTCCAGGAGGCAGGCTGGCCGGGAGGCTGAGGCCCGGCCCACCCTTCTCTCCAGTTCACGGGTCTGGGCTCTGGTTGGGGGAGCAATCCCAGGGTCACTGCAGGAGTGGGAGGTGGCGAGCAGAGCCAGACATCACCACTTGTCCCCACCCA